TCTACAATCTGAGGTACAGGATCTCAGGATTAATCCTGAGGTGATTTTACTGACTTTATCAGACCCAAAAGCTACAACTCTTGTTGCATAGGTCCTGCTTTCCTTGCTATTAACTATCCAGCAGAAAAGTATAAAAATGAAGTATAAGATGTAAAGCCATGGTGTTATGTTGAGCTGTAGGAGACTCAGGTCAACAATTTCTGACATTGCCAGTGAAGCAGAAGACCCAATGCTATTATGGACTACTGAACTGTTTCAGAATATTTTGCTGATTTTACACACCTATAATATTTAAATGATGGAATTTAACAAAAAAGGGGATAAAGATGAATGTCCATTTTGTATCTGTGTATTTAAAGTGGTTAGTATAGATATATAGTTACGTTCTCTTAATGAATAGAGGGATTCGTTCTAATGATGTTTGTAAATAGGATATCATGTCCGCATCTTGTACAGCAATTAACCACTAGGAAGAATGTATTCAATGTGTTAATTATTGAAACTGTCCTACCAATTTGGTTTGAAACTGTCTCATTGCTATTTATTTTGCAATAAAGTTATGGAAAAAAAAAGAAAAAAGAAAAAAAAATTAGTCAAAGAAGAAAAAAGAAATTCCTATGTACTTCTAGTTTATTGGTTTACTTCTAGACCCTGATATCTTTGGAGCTCAGTAAATAGCACAGCCCTCACCCACTTCCTGATACTCTGTGTATTTGAGAGATGAATCCTCTGCTCAAGAGGTTAGTCTGTCTATTACTCTGAGTCTATGGCAACTATTCCAACAGACTGAACCCCATTCTTGTTGGTAGAAGGGCAAGTGACCAGTCCAAAATCAGACCATTAAAGTGAATAACATCACCATTAGACCCAGCCACATCTGAAAGAAAAAATCCACAGAATCTTGGTTGCCATCACAGAATGAATGTCCTGGTCTGATCTTGAATTTCTGAGTGGATCTGGAGGATGTCCATTTAGTCTTTAACTTTCCCTACTAAGTGTCCATGGCTGTTTCTCATTCATTCACAGTAATAGGGTAACACTTCAGTTATGGAGTGAAGCTGTGGTGTAAGTAGTTCATTATTTTTATCTGTGTATTTAAAGTGGTTAGGATAGATATATAGTTACATTCTCAATGAATAGAGAAAATGGAAAAAAAAAAGAAAAAAGAAAAAAAAATTCACAAACTAAGTCCGTTCTGGAATGACCACTGATTAAACTCTCTCTGGTCATATGGAAGACAGTGTACTGGATTTCTTCAATACTATACCACTCTGAAGAAGCAATTGTCAGACCCTCAGGAGGAATCGTGGTACTCAGACGTAATAGCTCTTCAAGCCTGCAGTAAAAAATTGGCTTCCAATAAAAGTACATTTCAAAAAATGGGAAACAAACAAAATGAAAAAAGTAAAAATGTTGAGGAAGCAGAACCTGAAGAGTTTGTGGTAGAAAAAGTACTGGGACAATGTGGACTGAATGGGAAGGTGGAGTATTTCCTGAAGTGGAAGGTATTTACAGATGCTGACAATACATGGGAATCTGAAGAAAATTTTGGTTGTCCAGAGATAATTGAAGCACTTCTTTATTCAAAAAATCTGGTAAAGGAACAGATGATACAGAAAGAAAATCTTTATCTGACAGTGGATCTAATAACAGTAAGTCAAAGAAAAGAAAGAGATGCTGCTGACAAACCTAGAGGTTTTGCTAGAGGTATTGATCTTGAATGAATAATTGGCACCACAGATAGTAGTGGAGAAGTCATATTTCTCATGAAATGGGAAGATTCAGATGACGCTGACCTTGTTCTGGCAAAAGAGGCAAATATGAAATGTCCTCAAATCATAATTGCTTTTTTGAAGAGAGACTAACTTAGCATTCTTGTCCAGAAGATGAAGCTCAATAACATATCATATATCTATCTCCATCTCTATCTCTATGTCTTTATCTATCTATATCTATCTATCTATCTATCTATCTATCTATCTATCTATCTATCTATCTATGTAATATAATATGGGTCTTGGATTTGATTTACTAGTGTCAAAAAATTCTAACAAAAGTCAAGTTTAATATGTCAATTTTGAAAGTAGTATTTGGGGGAGTTATTGGCTTTTGTTTGTTTTGCATCTATGGCACTGGTTACTTTGAACAAATAAATAAAGCTTTGACAGTTCCTTTTTTTTATTAAAAAAGAGCGTTTGGTAGCCTGATACATTTCTTCTGCTTCTCTAAATGTTGGGGGGAATTGTCCATAGTCCAACTCATATGCTTAAGAATCATTTTGAGTTTTTGTTTGTGTGTCTATAAATATTTTTTTTTGGTGGAACTGAGGATTGAACTCAGGCACTTGCCAGGAAATCCCTCATTCTACTGAGCCATCTCCCCAGCACCTAAAATTCTTATGTAAGTTTTTTTTTGTTTGTTTATTTGCTTTTAAACATTCACCAAAACAAAAACTATGGGTGATATCCTCATGTTTGAGACCCGAACATTCTGAGCAACCTAGGAAATCACTTCCAGTTAAATAAGAAGTTTTCCTCAAGCCATAACCTTTTCAGTTAAATAAATGGTTTTGTGGATAATTGGACAGTTTAAAGTAGATATTTTCAAAGCAGCCACATCAGAATATGTATTCGTCTTTAGTCACAAAAATGCAATTTACTTGCAAAACTACCCCTCTAAAAAGCAAACAAAATTAAAAAAAAAAAAAAACCTTATCTCTCTGGGCATGGTTGTGCATGCCTACAATCCCAGCATTTGGGATGCTAAATCAGGAGGATCTTGGGAGTTACTTCACAGCAAGTTGAAATCTGTATGCAAAAGTCAGGATTCATATATGTCTTAAGATGTGGCTCTCAAAACCTACTGAGTGGTTGGAGGTGTTGACAATTTAGGACCTAGAATAAATGAGTAGATAAACTTGTAATGTAAACTATTGACCTGCATGTTTTTTGTTGACCTCAACTTGTTCCTTACATGTTGGTTCAATCTTTTCAGTATTGAGGTTACTGTGTTTTCAGCAGAAGCCTGGTAAACAACTTTGAATCAGTCAGACTGTTATCCTAATGTATACTGTTTACTTTATTGTAAATATTGTTGAGAAGTGAGCAATACATAGTTTTATATTCCTTTAAAAAATGAAGAAGCACTTCTCAGGACAAACCTTCACAATGTTTTGTTTTCTTTTCTTTCACTTTGACATGAGCTGTGAACTTTTGTTAGGCTACTACTTTTAACCCTTCCATGCGTTTACCCTCAAGAAGTTGACTTTTCTGGGCAGACATTCAGTTTTTCTTTGGTATTCTATGACAGTCATCTGTGTGGTCATGTGCTAAAGAGAATAAAGTTGTAGCACTTGGTAGGATGATGAAGTTTGAGTTTTGAGTCCTATGGCGCTTGATTTTCTTTCTCTATAATATTATAGATTTTAATTCACAGAAATTGTGACTTTATTTAACTTCCACTTGCATGGATGGAGGCTGAATATTCAGTTTCTTTCTTACTTTCTTTCTTCTTTCTTTCTTTCTTTCTTTCTTTCTTTCTTTCTTTCTTTCTTTCTTTCTTTCTTTCTTTCATGGAACCAGGGTTTGAATTTCATCTCCTGTTTTGTCTAAATTTCAGTCAGGTTCATGTGCCTGCAATCACCTCAACTGACAATCTCCTACTGTGGATCCTGTGTATGTTTTTGTAATTCTAGTAATGTTCAGATTGATATTTGAGCCATAGTTTAAATCTTGAAACTCAGAAATTGGAAATTATGAAACCCACAAAGTACCCAGGCAGTAGTACTCAGAAGTAACATGAGAAAAGATTAGAGAAAAATGTGCCTGTCTCATATCTTAGAGGGGGAACTTCAGAAACACTGAGGACACTTGGGAGCTGAGGAATCTCGGATTCTACAGTGATTTACAGTGGTGTACCTCTATATTAAAATTGGATTAGAGTACTTTTCAATAGTCTGCGGCTAATTGGAACTTCTGAGAAGAATGAACAAGCGGTGTGATGTATACATGGAGGGACTTTTTTCTTATTCTTCATGCAAATTTATCAGAGGAGCTTAGAGAAAAGTTTTGAGTACAGATATCTCAAGAGCTCAGTAGAATAAGCACTTGCCTGGCAGATGGCTCAAGATAATTATTACCCAGGAGAGTTTAAAGTAAAATCAAGACAGAGACAGGTGAAATGCTGCACAGGGGACTCTAGTTCTGTCCTGCTTAGAAAGATCTTGTCACCATCCTACAGATGGTAAAATGACACACCTACACATTTATTAATTAATGGCATAATTTATTAAGGCTGTACTTTTTTTGAGGAGAATCTGGTCCCCACTTGTCCCTGTCCCCATTGGTAAGTTTCTCTCTCTCCACAGATGTAACTTCTGTGACTGCATGGTTCTTGGCAAGCTAAAGAAGGAGGATAATGGGATTTGTGTGAATGTTTTTGTAGACTGTGATTTTTATAGGCTCCAGATTTGCATTTAGTGCCTCATAAAATTAGTATTATTTTTCATAAGAAATACTAAAGTAGTTTCTGGCATATATTTATTTTTATGAATTAAGTGATGAACATTTACCTGCTGTATCATTTTTCAAGCGAGATAATGTTTTAGTCTGAAGTTTTTAAATTTTATTTACACCCCTCATAGAATAGATGAACTTTCATAATGGGTTTTCAATATGTAGACTTACTTTCTCTTTGATAATCTGTATAAGTCACTTTTAAGATTTTGACAAAGTGGTTTCTGTAATTTATTTTATTTGAAGTTAGTACCAATTATTTAGTACACATAAGGTGTGTAGTTTAAGGGATTAGCTGTAAAAGATAATTTAACAACATTGAAAGTATATGTGAGCATTTTCTTTTAAAGATCCTTCTTGGCATTGTATTGATTTCACAAAGTTAACATTAATGTCATCCACCATTTCAATGGTATAAAGTAAAACAGTGTTGATAATATAGTTTTTCTGCGTTTCTCCTAAAGATTTTAGAATATAATCTGCCAGAATTTGTTGAACATAAAGATGATGAATGTTAATATTTTGTCTGTTTCCTCATTTTAAAATAATTTCTTTTGTTTTCATTTCAAGTGGGTTTCTCAGAAAGTGTTTAAATAGGGGAAAATGTAAAATTCAATATTTTCCTCTTTACTGATCACTGTGTCTTTTGTATTAGGTCCACCTTGCCCTGGTTGTTTAAATGTTTCATCAACACATAAATGTGAACTATTTTCTTGTCTTAATATAATTTAGAGATATGACAACAAAAGTGGAAGCCATTTTGTAATAAAATATTTCTTGCACTATGTAGTTGAGTGGAGACTCATTGGTTAGTGATAGCTTCATATCGCTGACAGGGTTTCTCTGGAATTATTCCATTTGTTTGGAATAGTAATTGCTTCCTGGTGATTTTTCTGAAAATGGAAGGAAACATATGAATGCTATAAATGTCAATAAATAAATGAGAACCCAGAGCTCTACCTTACCAACATTGAAATCAAAAAAAGATACTGTGCACTCCACATTTGCAAAGCAAACAGGTGCCATCCATGTACTGCAATCGTACTCAGGATTTGCTTACTTTCCTGTAACAATGGAGTAGTCCATTTCACAAAGATAGTGCAACAAACATGCATCATCTATATGTATGATGATGATTTTGTCTACCCTATTGTGTCTACAACCTCTCCTTTTTGCTCACTGTAGTTTTCTAGGTAGATATCTACTAAGAGCTGTACATATAGAACAATATTCCTATGAACTAAACCCAGTCTAGTGTTTATAGTGTGTATCACTTTAAGAATTTTTTTTCTTTTTACATTAAATTGTAGACAAGGTTTATTTTGATTCCCAGTGTGAAAAAGGTAACCTATGAAATATGGAGATAAGAGCAAAAATCTGCTTGGTAATGTTTCTATGATACATTAGTAAATGTTGGTCATAAATCCTACTATTATACACCTTCTTATTCTATCAATTGTGTTCATGTTGCCTATGAATAATGAATATGTAACCCTTTCTTTGCCCTCTATTCTGTTTCCTTGAAAGATCATCAGTGCTCAAATTTGGCGGGAGTTTCAGAGGCTGATCCACTTTCTACTATACTCCTGATCATGCCAGACCCTTATCTCAGGCCCACTGACTATAGCATTCATCAGTTTCTGAACAATCTGAGGATAATATGTGTCCAAGGATTGTCCTTGTATCAGTAACTACAGGATAATACCATGCTTAAATTGAATCTTTTGATATTAGCATTAACTAGTTTCTGAACTATGCTTCATTTCTCAGGGAATGTATGTCAAAATTCCCAAGAAACTAACCCGTACCGCTTTTAATGGTCACTTTCACCTTAAAAGGCCCCCCTTTTAACTCTTTACCTTAAATTACAGTGAAGGAGAGTATTGATGCCCATTATAGTAAAGTTGATCTAAAAATTACAGGAATAAGAGCTCAAATTTAATCTTTCTGCATCTAAAACACATAACTAAATTCTGGATATAAATTACATTATTTTACACTGTTTTATTCTGCAAGATATACAGACTATTTTCATGTAGCTCATGATAAAATAAATATATGGCATTGTTCATCACCTGATAAACTGGCCACCTGCAAGCCCATAAGTGACCAAATCTGTTCAGAGTCTGCTGACTCCTCTCCCTCCTACTTCAGGTCTCTCCTGGCCTCTGGCTCAGATGCATGGTTCTGAGCTTTCCTTACTCATTTTTGAACCATCTAGTGATACTGTCTCCCAGGATTGTTTCTGATATGAGTTACTGCAAGATGATACCTTGCCTAAAGTGAATCCTTTCTTGATCTTAGCATTAACTAGGTTCTGAATTGTGCTACATTTTTTCTAGGGGTATTTCAACCTTTACTTATGTATGAGTGCTCCTAATGGTGATTGCTCAAAACAAATGAAGACGTTTGTCTTTGACTTTCTTACTACATTTCTGTTTTTCTTTCTTTGAGTGGCCACTTGGCTTTTCTTTCCTTGTTTTCCAATGTGGACTTCCAAAGGATCTCCATTTTAGAGCTTTCTTCCAAGTTATTTTCACTGTGAATTTTGCTTTTGTTTATTAATCTAAAGACCGTCTAAGAGGAGCTGGATTTGTCTGATTTGAAAAATGAGTCTTTTTTGTTTGATGTTTTGCATAAAGCACTCCTGGCTCAGCATTGCTACTTCTATGAGCTGTATTTGGGGAGTGTTTTATATATGATCTTGTGCGTGATGGATCTGCTGTTTTGTCCCCTGTTTCCTAAGCTGTGCTGATCATGGCAGGTTTGTGCTGGATGAAGTCTGACTGAGAAAGGATTTACTACTAGACTGTTTCTGTTAGCCTGTTTTAATGTGTTCACAGTCTTTTTTTTTTTTTTTTTACCAGAGATCAAACTCAGGACCTTGCCCTTGCAGTCTTGAAATTATACTATGCAGTAAAGTACTACTACAGTGATCTACATTTCTTTAAAATATTTACATACACATTAAGGGAAAAGAATTTGGAGTGTTTTTCACTAATCCAGTTGTGTGTGATTCACAAAATTTGGAGATGGCTGGATGGCTGTTTTTATTTTGCTGTCTTTCTGATGATTCACATCAACTAATAACAAAAGTGGATGTTTACCAGTGAAATGATTTCTAATACTAAAACTGTGGAGAAAAGAAATTTCTACTCTGCTGCAAGTTTGTCATTTCTAGGTAAGGATCTAGGTATCATCTCATATCATGAATGTTGAATAAACTTAGGGGGTCTGCACACATCTCTTAATTCAATCCTTCATGCATGTAGGGCTATAGTTCCTAAAGTAATGTGAAATGCTAAAAAGGATATAAGCATATCTTTCAATTTAAAAATGATAGTAAACACACTTCATAAGATAGTTTTCCAGACTCAGTTTTCAAGCTGAAAATCTTGAACTCATGGTAAATTTGATGGAAATGTTTACAACTTAGTTAATTAAAACTAAGACAAAAAACTTCAAATTTAATGAAAATATAGTATTTTTATAATTATCATTTGATAAATGACAGATTGTAGACATAAACGAAAACAGTTAGACTTCAGAATCTACTGAGAAAAATTGTTCTCTATGAATATTTGGCCTAACAATAGACCAGAATACAGCACATGTTATGGAAGGCCCAAGTGAGACTCCTAATACAACATTCATGTGGAAAGGCTGGCATACAGGAGGGAGTAGTAGTGTATCCAGGAAGGTGTGAGGAAGACCTGAGTTCTGAAATGGGGAAAGTGTGCATGGGGAGGAATCAACATGTTTGAGCAAGGCTAGAGTGATGTCTCAGACTGATGATGCTGGTGATATATATAGATATATTATATAATATATATATATATTATATATATAGATATAGATATATTCTTCATTTTCTTCTCTGACGTTATATATTTGTTATTACTCCAGAAAATGAATAAAAAGAGAAAATTTTCTAGTTTTTATGAAATAAGAAACACAGTATTCTTTGAAGTCACAACTGGGATCATAGCCAACACTGTCCTGCTTGTATTCCACATCTTCACATTTCTACTCAAGCACAGGCCCAAACCTCTTGACTTGACCATCAGTCAGTTGGCACTAATCCACCTGATATTGCTGGTAACCATGGGATTCATAGCTGTAGACTTTTTTGGATTGCAGGACTGGAGGAATGACTTCATTTGTAAATTAGTTGTCTATGTAAACAGGTTAATGAGGACCCTCTCCATCTGTACCACCTGCCTGCTCAGTGTCCTTCAGGCCATCATGCTCAGCCCTAGAAACTCTTGTCTGGCAAAATTTAAACATAAATCTGCACATTATCTGTGTTGCCTTATCTTCTTATGGATCTTCAATATGTTCCTGAATGGTCGCTTCTTAGTCTCTATTGGTGCCACTCCTAATGTGACCTCACAGAGTCTCATGTTTGTCACTGAATCCTGCTCTCAGTGGCCTATTAGTTACTTCTTCAGGTACATATTTCTCATATTGGTGAATGTTCAGGACATCTCCTTTATATGCATGATGGCTTTCTCAAGTAGATACATGGTGAGTCTCCTGTGCAGGCATAAGAGACATTTCCAGCATCTTCACAGCAACAGACTGTCTCAAAAAACATCACCAGAAGAAAGGGCTACCTGGAGTATTCTGGTGCTCATGGGTTTCTTCATTTTCATGTACATTTTGGACTGTGTTATTTTTTCAGTCTTTGGCATATTGTGGAAAAATGATCCAGTTAGTCTTTGTGTCCGGATACTTGTGGGTAATGGCTATGCCACAATCTGTCCTTTTTTGCTAATGAGCACTGAAAAACGAATGATTAGGTGCTTAAAATTCAGGTAGAAAAGACAGTAAATGTTCAAGTATGTACTTATGGATAATTTCCTTTCAAATAAGCAAATAATTTGAATTTCTCTTAGATAATTGAGATATATGTAGTTATGCTTTTGCCATTAGATATGTTTAACTTGATATGTGGATAGCATATACATAGCAGTGAATTTAGCAATGTAACTCTGAATAGTTACTTATGTTACAGTCATACACAGCCTGGAACTCTTATGGAGTGTCAACCTCTAAAGGACAAGATCTGTAGCACTAATTATGTGGGGATAGACCAGGGCCTAAATAAGCAGTAAGGAGAAATTACACAGAAAATGCAAAAAAATTAGCAAATGACATTTTTATGTATAATAACTCACACTTTCCATATATATACTTTGTTTTATATCAGAAATTCTTCAGAAAACTTACTTCTCAAGTTTCTTTTTGGTAGATTTTTGACATACATAATTGTCACAATCATCACAGTAAATTTTATATACATAATGATCATAGTTATTGGACATAACATTTTTCTTTTTTAAAGCTTAATGGTACATTTTAGATACACATAATGATAATATTAGCCATAAGAAATTTGTATCTGTATTAGATATATTTTATTCTTTTTTCCCAATCCCCTCTCCAATATTCAACTTCTCTTTCCCTCTGTATTTACAAAGCGTTATTGTATTTTTACTCATTTCAAATATTTTTTTCCTTTGTCTTTGTTACTTTTACTCTTCTCTTTCCCTAGTTCCTTATTTCTTTCAAAAAGTTTCTCCCCATTTCACATTACATATTACACAATGTAGACCTTATTTACTCTGAGTTTCTTACACCAGGGATACAATTCAATATTCACACATGCAAATATGGTTTATTTCACTTATGAGTATGTTCTCTAGTTGCATCCATTTACTTATAGAGGTCTCCAGTTTATCCTTCTTCGTGCCTAAGTAGTAGTTCATTGCATTAAAATAGTACATTTTTATTCATTCATAAATTTAGGGATATTTGTTTTATTTTCAATGTTTATCAATTAAACTGCACTTCTATGAACATGGTTGTGCACGTATTGCTGTGATAGGAAAATGTTTTTAATTCTTTTAGGAAGATACATATAAGAGGTATATGTGTATCAAATAAGACCTATAGGGGCTGGGGAGATGGCTCAGTGGAATAAGCGCTTCCCTGGCAAGCACATAGGGCCTGAGTTCAATCCCCAGTTCCGGAAAAAAAAAAGACCTGTAACCCAAGATTTTTAGTTAACTCCACACATTTCCAAAGTTGTTGTATCTGTCTAAACTCCCATTAACAGTGGAGAATGGTTCCTTTTTCTGTAGCCTCCTAGCAATTTTTCTTGGTTGATTTCTTGGTAATAGTCATTCTTCTTGGAGCGAGATGAAATCTCAGCATGTTTTAAATTTCATCTCTTAAATAACCATCCATGTTGCCTATTTTTCACATATTTGTTTGCCAGTTGTATTATTGTTTTTTTTTAATTTGGGAGGTCTTTTTTATAAATATTATTTCTATATTGTAGATATAAGTCCTTTGTCTGATGGACAACTGGGCGGTAAAACTTTCTCCACTCTGTGGGTTTAATAATATATAAAATTTATTCCTTTTTCTACATTCTTCTTTTCTGTCTCTCACTTTTCTTTTTATTTTTATGTACAAATGCTCTATTTCCATTCTTTTAATATTCAACTCTCTTTTTATCGTTTTTCTTTTTCCCTTTTATTTCTCTTCTCCTTCCTACTTAAACATTTTCTTCCTATATCCTAATATTAAAAATTCTCCAGAAAACTTATAAAAATGAAAGTGAGTATAATAAAACATGAGTCATTCATAAACATGCTTATCATTTTAATAATTTTATTCATATGTCAATAGTACATAGTGTGTGTTCACAAAACATAACATTTTATGAAATGGTAGTTTAATGTAAGATATATACTTAGAAGACCGGAAAATTCCCCAACTCTGTGTAACTTCTATTTTAAGCTAAATAATGATAAGCAGAATATAAGATAAATTGACAGCATTACTTTTTATGTTTTCATTGCATACTTGAAATTGATTCACTTGAATTAATCTTATATTTTTTAATAATATGACAATTGCATTATAGAATTTTGGCATTATTTTCATTATCAAAAAGTATAGTACAATCATGAAAATAATATGAGAATATTAAAAGTAATTCAGGGTGAAAACATGACATTTTCATCATTTCTCACAGTATGTTAAAATTTCCAACATATCACAATGGTCTTTGTGTCTGAGAATATATTCCTTAAGTTCTATGTAAACATGTTAGCTATAGTTGATAATACAGGCTAACAAGTGTGAAACCCTTCTATTCTCAATAGGAAAAAAACATTCATTTAAATACATTGTGATGTTTGAAACAGTGAGGGAAATTTCTGATTCCAACTATAAAGAATATTAACCAAAATATTAAGACACTTGAAAGTCAATACTACCCAATGATAAAGGAGATAAATGACACTGAACTCGTGAAAGGATAGTAAGAAAATTTTAAACACCAGATGAGCCAGGAGAACTGGGAAACAATGCAAAACACGCTCTTTAGAAGATAATGGGGTGGGGTGAAGCCTGGAAAAGGACACAATAAAGCTAATCATTCTCTGAGTTGACTATCATAGTGGGAATTTTCCTTCAGGCATCTTTTATTTCAAAATTAAAACATGTCTGATTATATTTTTACTCGAAATTAATAAAAAGAGACTCTTATCTCATATTATACAAAAGACAACTCAAAATACAATTAATGTAGGTGTAAATGCAAGACACGAAATTGGAAAACTAGTAGAGGTAAGGATTTGTGAAAATCACATCAAGTTAGCAATGATTTCTTAGAGTGGGTTCCAAAAGCACTGGCAATGAGATCAAAATTAATAAAGGGGATAACATCCATGTAGCAATGAAGCAAGTAATTCCACATATAGAAGGTAATAGGCAGGAAAAAGGATAAAATAGTATCTCATTAAGCTTTATTGAAGAAATTAATAGGAAATCTTAATAAACACAATATTTGCCTTTGCAGTAAGGCTCCACCAATTAGAAAGACACATGTAAAGAAAGAAAGAGAAATTAGATCCTTTAAAATGCCAAGTAACACAATGTATATAAGAAATTAGCAGAAAGAGTTCACAGGTAAAACAGGGATATAGCTAGGGGTGAATGAGACCAGATAGCATAAATCTACGAAAAGTTCTTAGATGAAGTGAAGAGAACAAACAAGTGCAAAGAAGGAACAACCAAAAAGTTCACATAAATTTCACTCAGTGCTGAAATAGACAAAAACAAAACAAAACAAAAAAAACTGAATGAACTAAACAAAAAAGTTCAATAGTTTAATGACAGACTCAAAACTGATGTCAGACAGAAATACCTGAAGCCTACAATGTTATATATGGTTTCATTTCTAAATTTCTGTGTAAAAATGTGGGTTTTTCACATTCTATATGGATTTGAAGTTTAGAATACCCATGGTTATTGGAAAATACCAGTTCCATGTTTTGTCTAAGACATTTGATACTCAGTCAGATAGTGATGTTAAGGTTTACTGCCTCTGTTACAGGGTAATAAAATCACTAAGCATCTCTTGTGTATGGTTAGTAACTAAAATTTGCAGACCAAAAATCAGAGAAAAAGAAGCTACAAGGATAGCCAATATTTTGTTCCTAGCCCTTTAAGGTCAGTGAGGACATAGGACATAAGATAACCTCTGCTGTGACGTCCTGTAACTCAGTCGTGTCCCAAATTGTCTGATGAAAGAGATTATGCGTCCACAGAGGAATGTGATCAATGTTGTATAGTGTGCCTAAGGAGAGTCACCTAGAGATAAAATATTCTCTGAGGCTTTCACAGAGAGCAAATTGATCAAACAATGGCTATGATTCATCCAGATGGCTGACACTGACAAAAGATCTACAAGCTGCTCTACATGTTTCCAAGTTAAATCCTTATGGGATTTTACTGACTTTGTCAGATACAAAAGTTGCATTTTTAGTTATACATATCTTATTATAATTTGGTCTTAGCCATCCAGAAGAAAAGTGTAGCCACAAGGTATAAAAAGTAATGCCATAGTAATATTCTGAGCTGTAAAAGGCTGAAGTTAAGGACTTCTGACAATTCCAGCTCTGCTGATAACCCACAACTATTATGAACTGTTGGGTTATATTGAGATAGTTTGCTGAATTCAAGTACGTACAGTATGTGAACTGGCATCAAGTATGAAAAGATCCTTTAAAGACTTCTTCAAATACAGCTTCTTTAACAGCAGTGTAACACCCATCTTTGACAAATGAAATAAAAAAAGGAGGATATAAATGAAAGACAATTTTGTAGTGAAAAAAATATATATATACAAAATAATTAGGATAGATATACATCTATTTTCTTAGTTCAATGAGGAGAAAGATTTGTACCAATACTTTTAAGACTAGAGATCATGCATGTGTCTTGTACTGTGAATAACTACTACAAAGATAACAATATGCAATGTATTAATTATTGTAACTGTTCTACTAACTTGTTTTGAAAGTGTCTCATTGCTATTTCTTTCTCTTTAAAATTAATAAAAAATTTAAAAAGCAATATCTGAATCAAAAAACAGTGCACAATTAATACAACATACAATTGACCAATGAGAAGACAAGGTGTCAGATATTGTGAAAAGTAGTGAAGTATGATAAATAGCTTAAAGGAACCATAATGAAAAACAAAGAATAAATGGACAATATTCTGCAACTAGAAGATAACAATAAGAAGGTCAATCTAAAGCTAGAAAATCTAGAAGGGAGTGCAGATTGATTGACTACTAATCTTACAGAAATTATGGGTGAAAATTTCCAAAATGCATGAAAAGAATTTAAAATGCAAGTAAATGACACTTCTAGAACA